CCAATCAATCATCACCAGATCTTCATTAAAGGTAAGTGTCAATTATTTTATTGTTATTGTAATTATTCTATTGCATTAAACTTAATATTTCATGTAGTAAAATTTTTTTTTTCATACTTTTGGGTGTCTTGCACGGATTAATTTGATTTTCATTATTTCTTATGAGGAAAATTGATTCGGTTTTTGATATTATCGGTATTCGATGAGCTCTCAGGAACGGATTAATATCGAATACCAGGGGTCCACTGTATGTACGTCCGAAACACTGGCTCGTAAGACATACATATACAACTGAAACAGTCAAAGGGTTAATGAGTTGTCCTATCTTGGTTAATAAGCATGTTAGTGATACAGTAGATCATCTGGTGATTGATTATTTGGCACTCAACATTATGTGGTAGTGTTTGATTTGGCAATTAAACAAATAATATTAAAAGGAATGTTCAAAAAGGGACCATAAAAAAAAAAGTGTGATTATTTGGCGTTATTGAGAATCCATTTACACCCTTCCCTACCCCTCTCCTAAAGGCATTAGTTAATCAGTGATCTACTGTATACGGGCTCTCCTCACTTAACGATGGAGTTCCATTCCTAATACCATGCCGATAAACGAATTTGTCGCCAAAAGAGGAGTATTACAACCCAGGAGTCCAAATGGCCTGTTATCCTGGGTGTAAAGAGAGCAAAATAAACACAGCAGAAAAGTTTTGACTTATATTATCCTTCACCAATTTAGAACAGCAATATGTACACTATGTACACTATGTACAGTAATAGGTATTAGTGCACTCCATGGTAAGCAAGGCAGAATAGAAGCCAAAAGAGAGCAGACCGTGCTTCAACCAGCTCTAGAATGGGAATGTCAAGGGCAGACAGGAGAGTGGTACCCACATAACCTCTGAGATTGCCAAAACCATCTTCTTATTGGCTGGAACCTGGTCACTAGTTGAACGACGGGGCCCCATCGTCAACTCTTAGTTACCTGGTTCGCTGGTTGGGGGAGATAGCCTGTAAATGAGGGTGTGTACATGCGCCGAATAAAGGTTACGTACTCTTTGCATGCCACATCCCCACCCCGAGAAGGCTCAGGATTAGGCTGCCACCTCCCAATGGTAACCGTGCTGCCATGGCACAAAATAATGGGACCACCTTTCCTCTCCACCATCCAACTCTTAGATAGAGCTCAGCTTTTCTCGTGACAAAAAGCCAAACCCTAAACTCAGAGTGAGATAGCAGTCAGTCGGGCTAGCATAGGTCCAAGATACAGGCGGACGGTAGCCCACATCCCCTCACTAAAAAAAAAACCCACACCAGGGGATAAAAAAAAAGAGCTTGAAAGGGGTTACCACAAGTAACCTAACATCCTAACCTAAGTAAATAATATAGTTAGACACTAGATGAAGAGTCTGCCAACATATTTTCTTTGCTTGTAATATGTACAATTTTAATACAATAGGGCTGCAGCCTTAGCCTCCAGCTCATGAGCCTTGTGTTGTGGTTCTTCATGGTTTGGAGATATACTAGAGGATTGTGATCACTGTAGACGGTGACCACCTGCGATGTCTGGCCCACATAAACATCGAAATGCTCCAAAGCCAGTACCAGCGTGAGGGCTTCTTTTTCAGTGGTAGAGTAAGCCCTCTGATGCGGCTGGAACTTGGCAGAGAAGAAGGCTACAGGCTGCAACTCCTCGTTCCCGTTTTGCAATAGTACTGCCCCAACCCCAGACTCGCAAGCATCAACCTGTAATGAAAAAGGTTTGGAGAAGTCTGGAGACAAAAGAATGGGTGCAGTACACAATAATCTTTTTGCTTTGTCAAAAGCATTTTTACAGTCTGGGGTCCAATTAAAGGGAACTTTGTGACTGGTAAGAGAGGTAAGAGGGGCTACAATATCTGAGAAATTCTTACAGAATCTTCTGTAAAATCCTATCATGCCTAGGAAACATTGAAGAGATTTCCTATCATGAGGAACTGGATAATCTTTAATAGCAAGAACTTTAGCAAGTTCAGGAGCAACTTTACCACTACCTACTTCATGGCCTAGAAAAGTGATAGTGGCCTGGCCAAAGGAAGATTTAGATAAATTAACAGTTAAATGGGAGCTCTGAAAGGTCTCAAAAAGAGCCTTAAATCTAAGTAGGTGTTGATCCCAAGTATCAGACACCACAACAATATCATCTAGGTACGCTGCCGTGCCTTCAAGCCCTTTAATAGCCTGATGGATAAGTTTCTGGAATGAAGAGGGGGAGTTTTTCATTCCGAAGGGGGTAACTGTATTGATAATGACCTCCTGGAATTACGAAAGCAGAGATTTCCTTTGCCTTATCCGTCAAAGGTACCTGATAGTAACCTTTAAGGAGATCTAACTTGGACACAAAAGTAGCCTTTCCCACAAAGTCAATTACGTCATCCAGACGAGGAAGAGGGTAAGCATCTGTAATTGTGACCTCATTCACCTTACGGTAGTCTGTACACATATGAAACCCTCCATCAGCCTTCTTAACAAGGATGCACGGTGAAGCCCATGGACTAGATGACTCCTCCACTAAACCATACTTTAACAGAAATTCTACTTCCTGCTGAAGTAGCCTCTGCTTTTCAGGATTAGCTCTGTAGGGGGAGAGTTTAATAGGTTTAGAGTTTCCCACATCTACATCATGATAACCTAACGTACATTTTTTCGGCACATCCGAAAAAATATTAGGGTATGACTGTAGAAGCTCTGTTAAACTTGTTGCTTGCGTTTCAGATAGTCCCTCCATTAAAGGGCTAGGGTCCTTGAGGAGGACAGAATTTGAAAGTTTAACATTAATTTCAGAGATAGAATGCAAAGAATCAGAGTTGTCCTCAGAGGTAGAGGACAGAGTCATTACTGGGACTTTATCTGGTGTATGAAAAGATTTTAATTGACTAATGTGGTAAGTTTTAGTTTTTGAGGTCTTATCAATAAGGGCTACCACATAATTTACATCAGATAATCTACTTACAATTTGCATAGGTCCCATAAATCTAGCTTTTAAGGTGTGGCCAGGTATAGGTTCCTGCACCAACACCTTGTCTCCTGGATGGAAGGAGCAGAATTCTGTCATACCTCTGTTTCATCTTATTTTGAGCTGTCGTTAGGTTAGCCTTGGCTAACTGACGTGGCACCTGCAACCTTGAAGACGGGTTGTAGAGTGTTGAGCTAATGTCTTCTCCCATCCATCCTTCTTTGAGCACCTGAAGAGGTGCTCGTTTCTCGTACTGAGAACAGCACCAAAGGTAGTGATTCATCCCAGTCTGTAGGAAAATGCATGCAAAAAGTTCTCATCATGGTTTTTAACGTCTGATGGAATCTTTCCAAGGCGCCTTGGGACTGAGGATGATAGGATGATATATGCCGACACCAGACGTCTGACTCGTCTAGGTGGCATAAGTTACGTATTCGCTATGCACAGTATGATTGCAGAATATCCCAACGTAACACGTTAATTTGCATAACACACTTAGCTATGCACAGTACGATTGCAGAATACCCCAACGTAACGTTATTTGCAGAACACGCTTAGCTATGCACAGTACGATTGCAGAATACGCATACAAGATGGATACGCAATAGCAAAGCTGACTGCAAAATTCTTCACACCGGACAGGCTAGTAGCAACTGACACACAAAATTTGTAAAGCAGTGCCAGACAGCCAGCTACACACTGTTCTACAAGATTGACCGTAGCGAAGCAAGCACACCGAACAAGCTAGTAGCGAGCTGTTGAACGATCACACAATAGCAAGGCTGACCATAGCAAAGTAACTGACATGCAAAATTTGTAAAGCGTTGGCAAAGCTAATGCAATGCCAGACAGCAAGCTGCACAATGTTCCTGCTACCATCTTCACCCTAGGCTCAACCCTTTCTCTAAGTCCAGCTCCAGCTCTCGGACAGGCTACCCATATTACAACCCAGGAGCCCAAATGGCCTGTTATCCTGGGTGTAAAGGGAGCAAAATAAACACAGCAGAAAAGTTTTGACTTATATTATCCTTCACCAATTTAGAACAGCAATATGTACACTATATACACTATGTACAGTGATAGGTATTAGTGCACTCCACGGTAAGCAAGGCAGAATAGAAGCCACAAGAGAGCAGACCGTACTTCAACCAGCTCTAGAATGGGAATGACAAGGGCAGACAGGAGAGTATAACGATGCTTGTTTGGTAGTCTGGTAGCGGGGTGTGAATGATACGTCTTCTTCGGAGGCTTCTTTGTTTATTGTTAAGTCGTTTTGGGTTACACAGGCTTGTGTGTTGTGCCCATGGCCCGGGAGGGCCATGCCCACGAGAGAGAGCTGGGAGGCCTTGTGTCTTGATGCCAGGCCGCTGTGTGAGTGAGAGCGAGGCAAGTCTGGGCATACTGAAGTGGCAAGGCCTATAGATGGCAGCACCAGCATAGCGCGAAATATGAACTAAGCTGGCAGACAGCATGGGCTGTCTGTGCAGACAGTACAGGCTGTCTACAAGAGTGGTACCCACATAACCTCTGCTATTGCCAAAACCATCTTCTTATTGGCTGGAACCTGGTCACTAGTTGAACGACGGGGCCCCATCGTCAACTCTTAGTTACCTGGTTCGCTGGTTGGGGGAGATAGCCTGTAAATGAGGGTGTGTACAGGCGCCGAATAAAGGTTACGTACTCTTTGCATGCCACAAGGAGCATACTGTAATGGTGGTGAGTTTATATCAGTCATCTTTAATATTACTTTAATGTCACCCTTGCACCATTTATAACATGTTTAGTGTATTCTTAAATATTTATACAGTAGTGTACTGTATATTGTAATAAACATAATAGAGGAAATCAGCACTGATATACATTATTTAGGTATGCATATTGGTCAGAGAGCCTATTGTAAGTCCGAGTCGTCAGTAAATGAGTACGTCACTAAGTGAGGAGAGGCTGTAGTTACTTACACTTGTATTGGTCATGTGACAAATATATTTATACATGCATTATATTTCAGACCTCCAGACCCAAGAGTGTCAGTGGAGAGAATGGGCCTCAACCTGGAATCTCCATCTGAGGATGAAACAGGAGAACGTACAGAAAAACCCTTTGACCTTGATACTGTGAAAGAGAAGGGAAGGTATGCTGTTTACACCCTTTCACTGTCCAAACACCCCCTACCCCTTCCTTTGAAATTAATATTGCTCCTATTGTCCACTGTAGAAAAAAAATTCTGAAATGTCAGAGAAGCTTTTTCTGAAGGTAATAACACCAAAAATATGAAATTTGATGGAAAACATACAGAATTATGCAGGGGCACAATTTACACTTTGGCAATTTTGCCCAATTTGAGTTCTGTTTTAAGTGAATTCCATTCTTAGCTATTTTACTTGTATACTTTCTGTTCTATCTTCTGAGCATAAGAAATTGCCCATTTACCTTATAAAGCTCACAGAAGTCGGTAATTTGGTAAATTTTACACAAAATTAAAAAAAACCTATCTAAAAATAGTGCAAAATAAACAGTGTAGACATTCCTGTGGGTGAATGTGTGTTCTATTTTGGATCACCCAATCATGTAGGGAGATGGTCATTGTGCTGAAAAAAGGAATTCGATTGGATTACCCTGCCTTGGTTAAAAAGGGCCGACGTGTGAAAAACTCCACTTAGTAACTAGTTTCTGGCAAATGTTTTCATTGTAAGAAAATACATTTTAAAGAACACTGCATGACTAGTATTTTAGCAGATGAGTTTTGGTTTCAGGTTCTTCTGTGAGATGTGTAATGTATCGGCTACATCCCAAGACCAACTGGATGGCCACATGACTGGTCAGCGACACTTGAAGGCTTTGAGGCTGTCTGCAAAAAAAGCCATAGTACCTTCATCAGGTCAGTGTTGTGGGCTTCTTTATTAACCCTTAAACGGTCCAAACGTATATATACGTCCACGCGCGTAGCGCCCCAAACGTATATATACGTTTTCTTTGTCATTCATTCAACATTGCCACAATAAGCCTGAATCACCTAGACATGAGAGAATGGGTGTGTGCACTCACTGTGTGCCATATTAAAATAATTGGGGATGCCTGGGTACCATATACTCTTTTTTCCTTTTAAAAGAAAAGATTGTTTTTTTTTCCTCAAAAAAGTATATATACGTTTGGACCGTTTAAGGGTTAATTCTCATTACTTTTTCATAGAATATCTTAGAAAAAATTATGTATTCCTTTCTCTCATTCTGTCATTTAAATCTCATTTTAAATATAAAAGTAAATTAATCCCTTTATTAACAAGCATTGTGTCAGAATGCACATCTAAGAGCTGAATCATCATCAATAACTTTCTGAAAGTTTTCTATCTAAATTTGCAATGAAGTAAAAATTCTACAATTTTGTTAACTGTTTATGTATAGTATATTAATGACATAAGCTGGAAAAAGCATTGCCAATATTGCAATTTTTTATTTAAATCAGTGGCAAGTGCTGAAACCTTAAGGGTTATGCAGCTCTGCTAGTGTTACAAGGTTTAGGTTTCAGAGGAAAAGTAATTACAGTCAACCCGTGATTTAACCAACAAATAGGGAAGATGGGATGTCTTTCAAAATCAGATTTCTGTTAAATCAAGAATCGGTTTACCCAGCATACTGTAATAGTAATGGCCAATTCTAACTTTAACTGACTTTGTTATTTCTGAATGTTGTCTGGTCACATATTTTATCCAACAAATCCAAATTTTGTTAAATTGGGGTCTGTGAAATCAAGGTTTTACTGTAACTTCTATAATCAGGTAAGTGTCTTTAGGCTCTTGTATATACTGCAGATAGTGATAGATAGGTCTAATGCTCAAATGTAAAATTTAATAATGTGGAAATTATTTTAATCTAATGTGAATGATATGGCTAGGATGAAATTTTTAACAATTTGCAGTGCCCTTATTAAAGAACTGTGATTTGTGTGCTGAAATTTGGCTGCCTTTGTATCCTCATGAAGTTGAAATGTGAACCAAGGTGTCAGACGTGTAATTCATGTACACGTGCGTAATGTCATGTCATGAACTTTAATTTACAATGCAAGCATTGTTTAGTAATTATTGATATTAGTGTAAAGGATGTTAGTGAAAATGAATTAACACATTAAAATAACAATATGATCTGGTGGCTGTTAGGAATGTGACAGTATGAGAAAATAATAAATGCTGTTGATCAGTTACTTTCATTATAAAATTATTAGAAAATAAAAATATTCATTATCACTTGATGGAATCTGGTAAGAGTACTTCTTAGCCGATGAAAAAATTCTTGAACAGTGCAGTTAAATGAGATCATAAGATCCTTAAAGTAATGCCTGGAAAATAACTGTCCTCTTCAGTATTAACTCTTTCTTTGTTATCTAATTAAATAGGAATAAAATCTGCTTTAAACCACAAGCATAATTTATGAGATTTTTTATTCCCTGTTTTAATAGGTTGCAGCCGAAATTTTCTTTATACACATACAAGGTGTATTTTCCATTTTCTCGCTTCATTATCTTGTATTCATTTTGTTTTACTTCATATGTAACAGTATACAGTGGACCTCCGGTTAACGATATTTTTTCACTCAAGAAGTATGTTCAGGTGCCAGTACTGACCGAATTTGTTCCCATAAGGAATATTGTGAAGTAGATTAGTCCATTTCAGACCCCCAAACATACACGTACAAACGCACTTACATAAACACACTTACATAATTGGTCGCATTCGGAGGCGATCGTTATGTGGGGGTCCACTGTATTAGTTTTCCCATCATCTCGTTAAAAATATTCTCACTGGCTTGTATATTAGAAAAAAAAAATTGAATAATATTTAGTATCTTGGGCATAAAAGATTGCATTTTGTAACAGGTAAGTGTTGTGTTAGGCTATTCTCAATACAATAACAAAGAGTTGAAACTGTATAATACAGCCCTGGTTTCCCAGAACTGTATGCCTAAGACTTTTGTGTTAACACTTTCACTGTCCAGACCCTCAAAATTAATATTGCTCTCAGTGTCCACTTCAAAAAAATATTTTTTCTTGCAAAATGGTCGAGAATCTTTTTCTGGGGGTAACGATGCCTAAAGTGCAAAATTTGATGGAAAATTTGCGGAATTATGCAGATACAGAGTTAGCATTCTCGGCACAATTTACACATTGGAGATTTTGCTGACTTTGAATCCTATTTTAAGCCAATTCCATTGCTCCAGTTAACCTGATTTTTAGCTATTTTGGTAGTATTCCTTCCCATCTATTGATTGAAAACAAGAAATTGTCCATTCGACTACCATATAAAGAACACACAAGTTGGTAATTTGGCCAGTTTTACACCAAAAAATATTTCAAATTTAAAAATAGAGTGCAAAATAAACAATGTAGACACTCCTGGCACTAAAACAAGATTTCCTCTGTTCATTAATCATCCCCAGGCCTCTCCTATATTGCACTTACCTTCCATTTTGAGTTCATAATCACACAAAAATAAAAGATTTACTCTTATTTCCCCAGATAATAAAATATAACCAGGAATGATTAGCCATGGTTTACGGCATCCTAATAATTGAATCAGGTCTATTAAAAACCCATAAAACAGACTATGGGGTGGATGGGGGCTTACCTGTCCTCGGGAAAATTGGCAAAAATTAAATATTTCCACTACCTTGAGCTCAATTTCTAGCTACTTCCAATACTTAAATCAATCAAAATCATCTTTATTTCAGTAGTATTTTTTTCCATTCTATCTAATGATATCAAGAGAAAGCACTTTATATTTGCTATTGGAAACCATCTATGTCCTTGGTCAGGGTTTTGTTTTTCCTGTCATGCACTGAGTGAGACAGGATTTTTTTTTACTGTGTACACTTACTGCACAGACCCATTCTCTCACATCTAGGCCATAATTTACTGCTTACAGCTTATCTGAGTGAGCGGAGCTCATGCCGTAGAAGCATGTGAGGGATCTTAGCGTCAATGACATAGTTCTGTGTGATGGCCACTGAAAGGGTTAAAGTACTGTAAGAAACACAGGGTACCTATGAAGGATAACACCTGTTGTTTAATTGCATCATTGATTATTGCCAGAGTTTGGTACTATGTCTGTGAACTTGGTCCACCAAACCCATTTTAAATTTTATTAGCCCGAACATATTTGAGACTGAAAGGTCTAATACAGCAGTTACTCGATTATCTGCAATAAAGGGGCAGGGGAGGTTGGGTGGGATTCTCAGAATTTTGAGCAACCTGCTTATTGTATCAGGTATTTTGGGTTTAATTTATTTTGACTAGTTAAGTAAAACATGTTACTATGAGTATGGTATGGTATTGTTGTACACTATGTGGATGTTTTGTCAGTGGTATCCTGAAGGTTGTTTATTGAAAATATGGCTAATATTCATTTAACATTGGTAATGAACTGCTGGAAGAGTAGTCACTAGTTATTTAGTGGAATATAGGACTAGTAGCATTTTTAAGACTGTAGTTTGTTAGTGGGGCTTAGTGTATTCTGGGAGTTATTGAGTGTGCGAAGCATAAAAGTACTGAATACTGCATACAGTCATACCCTGCTTTACATCATTTTGGCCTATGTCAAATTTACCTTTACACTTTTCTAGAATAAATTTAAGTTTAACAAATGTCATTATGTCCGACTTTGTCACTCCGCAATGTCACCTACGTCATGATTTTTTAATTGTGTTCATTATTCTTTAAGGTTTGGCAATAAATGTATTCTTTTGCTAGTTTTACAGCGTCATCATTTTAAGGCATTTTTCAGGAATTATGTCTGGTTTCTGTAAAACCCAGGGTACGTCATGGCTCTTGGAACCAATTAATGATGTAGGGCAGGGTAAGACTGTATTTTAATCTCCAGAGAGTAGGTTGGCACTACTTGTATCTAACCTTAATGAGGTGCTGTAAGTTACTTAGGCTCCTCATGCTTTGACTTGCCTCTTCTTCACTAGTGATTGAATTGAGTAAAAAAAGGAAAAAACAATCATCAAACATAGGAGAAACTGCACACAAAATTGACGAGTACAACCAACCCCACAAATTTGCAGTGTTCCTTATTTGCAGAATTTGATTCTCCAAGATTTTTACTGATTGGCAACATGTAAAAAAACTTGATTATTCATGAGTTTTTGGAAGATACCCATATGCTTAGTGACTTTCCAATGGCCAAATCTCTCTCCATTCTGGTCATTCTTTCTTATGAATGTTAATATTAAGCAGATTACAGTGATATATTAAAGAAATCTTTTCTTTCAACGTACCAGCTGTATCCCACCGAGGTGGGGTGGCCCAAAAGGAAAAACGAAAGTTTCTCCTTTCAAATTTAGTAATATATACAGGAGAAGGGGTTATATTAAAGAAATATGGTCTCTTAATTACAAAATGAGCTCAAATCACAAATAAATTATGCAGACTAAGTTTTGTAATACGTATATATTTTTTTTAATTTTAGATTTGCTGTATATATGGAAATGTAAGCTATCCCTCTCCCCTCCTCCTCATGCAAAGGGGCATTTACAGCTATTGAATGAACGATGATCAGTGTTTGCTCTTTTGGGTCATCCTACCATGATAGGAAATGCAATAAAGCTAGACCTAAAAAAAATCTTATACTGTACACACATTACTTACCTTAAAATATTTTTGTACCTAGATTATAGCGAATGATGAATATATTTATTGTAGGAAGTCTGAATACATGAAGAATGGGTATTATTGAAAACTGCTGTATTAGCGAAACATTGTAAAACAAAGTGCTGTAAAGCAGGGCCCTCTGTTTTATGTACTCTTAGAATGTTTAAATGATCATTGTACACACATCGGTGTTTCACCAGAAATGCAGTTTTTAATGATACAGTATTTTGTAAAATTCATCAGTTTTCAAAATTCTTAGTCTACAAAGAATACAAGTCACGATACACAAATAATCTTCATTTAGTGGGAAAGTAATGACGTTACGGTCTAATTTGGTTGTCATTACTAGTAAAAAAACAAAATCTGTTGCTTGTTCCTAACTGTCTTATTTTTATTTTGTTTAGAATAAAAGAGGAGGCTGGAAAAATATAGTGTGAAGCAGTGTTGATAATATGAAACATAAGTGTGAGAGGACTAGCAGGTGGGCTTTCCACTTAGCTGTATTAATGTCTTTACAATTTGGGTTGTAAGTGAATGTTAGAGATGAATGTGGTCTGAAGGAATTTGATATGAAGTTGGAGTTGTCATAGTTGCTGTTTGTAGAAGAATGGTCTAGAGGAGCAGTTTAGAGTGGTGTGTAAAAATAAGAAAGTTAACAGTGAATGTAAAAAAAAAAAAGTAAACAAAATAAGGGAAGGAGGGAGAAGTGAGACTACAAGGAAGGACTACAGAGCTACATGGGGCTACTGCAATGTCAGACATTTTGTGCAGCTACAGGAAAAATCTGTGTTCTAATTCTGATAATGGATATATTTTGGTTAATGAAGTAGTTGTTGGAAAAATTGCAGTTGGCATTCTCTATGACATTGGCATTTTAGTGATTGCTAGTGCAAATTCACTTCAGACATACTTGCCTAAACCAATTTTATCTGACAATGTTTTTTACATTATGTCATATAAGACTAAAAAAATCAAGTTACCTCCACACATGCCATTTTCTTAATATTGTACCCAGCTGAATATCATTAGTTTTTAAAGGACTGGAATGGACTGAATATCAACACCATGTTAATGTTATTTGATTTTTTTTGGCCCCTTATTTTGATTTCCTTTTTTCTTTTAAATATAATTATTTGCTGTATGTATACAAATACATGTATACATGAATGATAGTTTGAGACAGAAGACAATAACATTAACATGGTGTTGATATTCAGTTCTTTACAGTCCTTTAAAAAAATATATATATACATATATTCAGCGGGGTACAGTATTACAAAAATGGCATGGTTAAGGTCCAAAGAATGCTGGTTTATATTCATCCTGTGGATGTAAAAACATGTACAGTACAGCTATGTATAAATATGTACCATGCAACCTTTATTGTAAATGTGTAGGCTAATTTTCATTAGTAATACTATAATCAAGTGAAGCTCTAAACCTGAAAGGGTCACACATGCTGCAGTGCTTTTCATTTCAAGTAGAATTGTAAGTGGGTGTCTTACATTTAATCCTTTGACTGTTTCGGGCCCCTTTCTGAAACTGTCATTCTATGTCACTCATTTTTTGAAAAAAAAAAAAAAAAAAAAAATTATGAAATGATAGAGAATCTTTTCCCGATGGTAATGACACCAAAAGTTCGAGATTTGGTCGAAAACTCATGGAATTATGCTCCCGCGAAGTTAGCGGTCTTGGCGACATATGCGTATTGGCGATTTCGCCGACTTTGAGCCCTATTTTCAGCCAATTCCATTGTTCCAGTTGACCAAACTCATAGCTATTTCTTTAGAACTCCATTTTATCTATCAGCTGAGTACAAGAAACCTCCCATTTACTAATTTGGACTACCCAATATGGTGGTCAGAAATTGGCAATTTGGCCAATTTCTCGCCAACTAAAAAAAAATGCCAATTTCAAAATAGGGTCCAGAATAAACAAGGTAGACATTTGTGGCACTAAAATAACATATGCTCTGTTCATTAGTCACATCTCTAGACCCCTCTTATATTATTATTGCTTTCTATTTTTATTTTTTATTCATACAAAAAAATACAAAATTTACTGTTATGCAGACTACTGCATTATTGTAAAAATGGTATAAATAATATCAGTGCACTAGTGAAAGAATATTAGACTCCCCAGTTGACGTGTATTGGACGTGTGGTGTGATTTATTTATCCCTGAACATTGGTAAAAATCGAACATTTCCACTACTTTGAGCTCAGTTTCAAGGTCGTTTTCATCGTCAAAGTAATGAAAATCATCTCGATTTCTGTAATATGTTTTCCATTTTATCACCTAAGACCATGAAAACGCGAATACAACGATAAATACTATACGAAAATACACCTCAAAGCCGGCGTTTTATTCCAAAAAAACGATCAGAGTTTTTTTACTCATTACACAATGTGTGCTGCAGGATTTTTTTTATGTGGTGCACACTGACCACACAGACCCATTCTCTCACATGTGGGCCTACCAGCTTTCTCCCGCTTGATTTGAAGCCGCTAGAATTATTGAGTATATATACGTCAGAAACATTGGCTCGTAAGACGTATTTATACGTCGAAAACAGTCAAAGGGTTAAATAAGCAAGTACAGTAGAAGCAAAGTAAAATTTATGAAGGGATTCATGGAAACCGTTTAGTCAGACTTGAGTCCTGTGGGTGGGAAGCACAGAGCTTGCACTCTGAAGGAGGGGTGGAGATACATTGCAGTTTTTGAACTGCAGTGCGTATTGGCAAGACAGCGATTGAGTGAGTGATGAAAGTTTCTTCTTTTTCGGGTCACCCAACCTCAGTGGGAAATGGCTGATGTGTTGAAAAAAAAAAAAAATACAGTGGACCCCCGGTTAACAATATTTTTTCATTCCAGAAGTATGTTCAGGTGCCAGTACTGACCGAATTTGTTCCCATAAGGAATATCATGAAGTAGATTAGTCCATTTCAGACCCCCAAACATACACGTACAAACGCACTTACATAATTGTTCGCATTGGGAGGTGATCGTTAAGCGGGGTCCACTGTATAGTGCAGTACATAGTACATATATGGTGCTTCGTGTGTCTTACATTCATTTATTATTATCCAAATAACAATGATCCATATGCTAACTCTTGGTGTAGGCTTCACTTCATTAAATTTATTTTTGTTGGGAGAGATAAATGAGACCTAGGTAGTAGGTTGGTAGACAGCAACCACCCAGGGAGGTACTACCGTCCTGCCAAGTGAGTATAAAACGGAAACCTGTAATTGTTTTACATGATGGTAGGATTGCTGGTGTCTTTTTTCTGTCTCATAAACATGCAAGATTTCAGGTACGTCTTGCTGCTTCTACTTACACTTAGGTCACACTACACATACATGTACAAGCATATATATACACACCCATCTGGGTTTTCTTCTATTTTCTTTCTAGTTCTTGTTCTTGTTTATTTCCTCTTATCTCCATGGGGAAGTGGAACAAAATTCTTCCTCCGTAAGCCATGCGTGTTGTAAGAGGCGACCAAAATGCCAGGAGCAAGAGGCTAGTAACCCCTTCTCCTGTATAAATTACTAAATTTTAAAAGAGAAACTTTCGTTTTTCTTTTTTGGGCCACCCTGCCTCGGTGGGATACGGCCGGTTTGTTGAAAGAAAGAAGAAGAAAGATAAATGAGAAAAACATCTGCATCAGATATTAATATGAATGATTTTAGTTACTGGCTAACTAATTTCAGGTCATGACTATATGAAAACTCTAGGGTTACTGTCAAAATGATTTATATTTTTATAATGTGTATTTTTCAGTATTTATGTACTGTACTTGTATTTAATCAAGATTTATTCAATGTAAATAAACCGTTATTATACAACACTGAATATGAATGTTTTTTTCTATTTGGAAAAGGTAATAAATATATAAATAAATACAGTACCTGGTTTCTGGAGTTTGTTAAAGGCTATATTTTCTTAACGTTTCTTTAAAAATGAAATTAAGCTTAATTTATAAATTAATAAAAAATTGTGTTAAATAAAAAAGCTATCCCTGCATTTTGTATAATTATTAGTTTAAATAAAAAGCAGTTTTTTATTTTAACTGCAGTACTAATTAACATAAAAGAAGTTTTGGTGACTTTTACATATTCCAAAGGAATTTTTTATTTGCTACACCTTTTGTTAAAACTCAAGGAATGTAACCCATGAGTTTTTATTCCCCAGGACCATGAAGTTGGCTCGTAGACTCGTGTCAAGAAGGCTAAAACATTAAAAGTGTGCCGGCGACTTGCCCTGGTACCTTCTCTTACCACTGGCACCATCTCCACATTATTTTTCTTGGTTTGTTTCATTCATTTCTATTTGTTTACTGTAAAGAACTGAAGTGCCAGTTGTTTCTTTCTAGGCACATATAATATCTATAATATACTAATTAAATTCTTTATTTTGGCTTGAGTTCATAATTATTGTTGGAGAAATTTGTAAGGAAAATGACACATTATTGTAATAAGTTTTAATATAATACAGTAGCACTTAAGAGTGAGAAATAAGAAATAGGAATGTGATGAAAAGGAAAAATAATAATTTTTTTTTTTTGAAGAATAATACAATACACATAAATGTAGACAAATTGATACTTAGAGTGAAATTAAAATTGTGACTAATGATTACAAACAAATTTTCTTAATGCAATTGTGAAAGGAAATATTTTAATAAATGTAATTTATTTAAATATGTGAATTAAAAAATAGAAAATGGGGTTGAATATTTTATTTGCTTTATTTGTTGGTCTCAGATTTAAATTTCTATCATTTTGTAATATTTAGTCACTATAGAATGTAAGTTAAACTACTAGTTGATAATTTTTTTGTCATTTACTGAAGTTTGGAAAAAGTGCATGACATATCTTAGAGATATTTCGGTGTTGTAATGTAGCCTGATTATGATAACAGTGTTGTTATTACAGTACTGTTCATTTGTTTAAAACTTATACTGTATAGCGATTAAAATTAATGTACACTATATTGAAGCATGAATAGTTTTCTTTGTGCATTTAATTGTAAGAATGTCATTTTACTATAGTAATGTAAGGAGAAATGCTTGAAAACAATCATGTCCATGGCAAATGATTTATTATATTTACGAAAATGCTTTTTAAGAATTTTTAAACAAAATTTTGTAGTACGTGTGTATATTAAGAATTAAGCCATAGATTGTTTAAGCTCTAGTTTAATCAGGAACCTTAAGGACTTTGACAACACAGTAACTACCTATAAAATATCTAACGATATTGGTTAAAAATTGCCTTCTTACTGAATTAAAGCTTAGAAGACAGAAGCAACATTTCATTAATATTCTTGTCCCTTTGGTTTATTGTTAGGTAATACTGTTAATCTTGGATGAATCGGTTTTCATATTTTTCTATTGAGTGAAAGCTCATATTTTTTTTCTGTGTTTGAAAAGCACTTGCTTACAAGTGCCTGAACTAAGATGATACTCTAGTTGGTTTGGGCTTATGCTTTTTTTAAAGCTTATCTCATATGATTCCACAGTTGGAGCCTCTGTTACATTTGCATCTACTCAAAAGCAGTATTAGATCACAAACTGGTCATCAAGAATAAGTTGCAATACTATTGCTTGAATAATTCACAACTAACCCATAATTAATAGATGACAGTTCAGAGACCCAAACTGTGGGTTATGAATTGCAATATAATAATTATCTTGGGGAAATCCTAAACAACAGGGATCATACAGCATCTGAGAAATGGGAAGCAATTAGGTTTGATCAAAGGAAAGAGAGGACAGGTCCGATTCCTTAGATCAAGAGTCCCTACACCAACATCAAGGAGTAACTGAATAAAGCACTTTCTGACTATGACCTTAGTTTTTATAGGCAAGGGTCTTAGTAAAATGCATCTGGAGATCATTGCAAGATTTTTCCAATAAGGCAGTGTGTTTAAGTTTCATGCACTAGTTTAGTAGGTACAGTTTTGGCTGACCTGCCAACCTTTAGAGTGCATTCTAGGTTTCTGTATACAGTAAAGGATATCTTTTTACAGCACAGATTTAGGTGGCAATTGAACAATTATATTTTGCTAACAGGTTTTAGTAAATATAATTTTTATTTGATATAGAATGCATTATTTGATAATTTTACATAGGTGTGTTAAGATTTAACCCTCAGACTACCGATGATGTAAATTTATGCCAAAATTCTAGAGCTTTTAAAATGGTCCTAATTGGCTTTGGATTATATCATAGAAAACAGGTCTGTGCTATGGATGTGACCAGCATAAGATTTGTGTTATGTACAGGGTATTGTGGGAGCCAATAAATACCATTTACATTTGTTGACATGTGTTTAATGGGATTGAACACTAATTATAAGTGAAATATATGAAAATGTAGATTCAGACATACCTCACTATGGCAGGTTAGGTTCCACACCACCACTGTAAAGCAAATATCGCCTTAAAGCCTTTTGTTTACTTGCCAGTTCATATAAAAGCATAAAAAACATGTTTATCATTTATCAAGTGTACAATAGCACTGGGCCTAAAAAAAAGATGCAAAAGTTTTTTTAACACATCGGCCATCTCCCACTGAGGTAGCGTGACCCAAAAAAGAAACACTTTCACCATCATTCACACATAATCACTATCTGCAGAGGCGTTCCAATACGACAGTTTAGATGTCACTCCAAACAGCCAATATCCCAAACCCCTCCTTCAAGATGCAGGCATTGTGCTTCCCACCTCCAGGATTCATATCCAGCTAACCGATTTCCCTGAATCCCTTCACAAAATATTACCCTGCTCACACTCCAACAGCTCATCAAGTCACAAAAACCATTCGTCTCCACTCCTACCTAACACACTCATACATGCCTGTTGCATGTCCAAGCCCCTTGCATACAAAACCTCTTTTACCCCCCCACCCTCCATCCTCTCCTAGGATGACTCCTCCCCTCCACTACAGATTTATACACTCTCCAAGTCATTCTATTTTTGCTACAACCTCTCTAAATGACCAAACCACCTCGACAACCCCTCTTCAGCCCTCTGAATAATACTTTGAGTAACTCCACACCTAATTTCCACATTACGAATTCTCTGCATAATATTTACACCAGACATTGCCCTTGGACACTATATCTCCACTGCCTCTAGCCTCCTCCTTTGCACCATTTACAACCTATGCTTCACATCCATATAAGAGTGTTGGTACCACTATACTTTTGTACATTTCCTTCTTTCAATTTTATGGTTAACCTTATCCTTCACAAACCTGTCCACTGACAAGTCTACTCCCAAATATCTGAACACATTCACCTCTTACATACTCCTTCCAATGTGATATCCAATTTTTCTTTACCTAACTCGTTTGATACCCTCATCACCTTACTCGTATCTATGTTCACTTGTAACTTGCTTCCTTTACACACAAAAGTAATAGTAATAAATAAAAAAATTATATTGCTAACCTTCAACCTTTGGTAGGCAAAAATGAAAATTGCTAATTTTGAAATGTTTTTTTCCTATGAGTGGATAGAGTGTGTCTATATAAAGTAAATGAGCCCATACAAAGGAATATGTGAAAGTTTGTTTTCAATCAATTGCCAATATGAGAAGACTGACGAAAGTAGGTCTTGCCTATCAAAGGATGAACATTTTTAAATGTTGCAAAGTTGCAATTGTTAATAAAAATAAAACACCAAATAACTATTTTTTAATTTTATTATACAAAAAGACAATATCAAAGACATAAATTAAACTTGTTTTCAAACATTTTGTAAGCATTAAAAAAATACAAAAATGAATCAAGTAGCAACTTAGACACATTGCAAAGGGATATAACTTTCAATTCCCACATTCCTGAGTTTCCTAAGAAAGAATAATCATTCTAGATCACTAATTTGTACAATTTCTATCCTTCTTGATGTATATATTTACTTTGCATATGGCAAAGGAAAATGAGGATATGACATGATGTTTGTGTTTGCTCTACAATTTGCATTGAAGTAGCTTGCCTGGCACTGGCCTGTGAGAATTTTGGCTTTTTTGGATGGTCTATCTTCCTCGTCATCATCACTTGACACCTCTGCATCCTGTGGCAAGTACTCATCACTACTGTCAAGCAATTCCAGGTGATCTGGCTCTGGATCTGAGTCATTTTCCTCCAAAATGCAGAGATATTTGGACTTGTCTTTGGAGGATTCACCATAAAACAATTTCTCATTGATCTGGAAGGACAATAAAAACATTCTGTACACACCCAGACTACTACAGAATTGCTATATGCATTACAATTTTTATTTTGAATATTTATTTACTGAAATTTAAATTTGGGGCCAAAATAGGCAAGAACGATATTTTTTGGTCTTTTTTTGTTGCACTTTTTTCATATGCATGGTGCACTCACATTATGCTTCACACAGACTTTATATATATATCAAAATATGCCTAAACTATTCATTTACACACTAGAAACACAAATGAGTACTTACCGACATTGTAGAGGGTATATGAGTGTCACTTGATGGAAAAAACGTCTCAGCGTTGCCAAGCTAGAAATGTTTACATTTTGGTCTCTCAACCAATAGGAAGCGAGCAGAAGTCATCACCACTTAGCTGGAGCAACTCAGGGAAGGCTTGTGATTGGTCAGAAATAGAGAATGGGAACCCAGATGTGCAGTGGGTGTAGGAGGAATGCGCTAAATATTATGCTTTCAGGAACGACAAATGTCGTTCCTGCCTAACAGGGTTAAAGTGGTAGCAGTCAGCTGATGCATGCATCACCAACAAAAAATAAATATAACTGAAAAAGCACTGTATTAGCAAAGCTCTCTAAAGTAAAGTGCCATATTAGTGAGGCACACCTGTTTTTTTTTTTTTTTAACACATTGGCCGTTTCCCACCAAGGCAGGAGGGCCCGAAAAAGAAAAACTTTCATCATCATTCACTCCATCACTGTCTTGCCAGAGGAATTCGTACACTACAGTTATAAAACTGCAACATTAACACCCCCTCCTTCAGAGTGCCGGCACTGTACTTCCCATCTCCAGGAATCGAGTCCGGCCTGCCGGTTTACCTGAATCCCTTCATAAATGTTACCTTGCTTACACTCCAACAGCACGTCAAGTCCTAAAAACCATTTGTCTCCATTCGCTCCTATCTAACATGCTCACACACGCTGGAAGTCCAAGCCTCCTCGCAGACAAAACCTTTATCCCCTCCCTCCAACCTTTCCTAAGCCGACCCCTATCCTGCCTTCCCTCCACTATAGATTTATATACCCTTGAAATCATTCTATCTCATTCCATCCTCTCTACATGTCCAAACCATCTCAATAACCCCTCCTCAGCCCTCTGGATAATAGTTTTGGTAATCCCACACCCCCTCCTAATCTCCAAACTGCAAATTCTCTGCATTATATTCACACCACACATTGCCCTCAGACATAACATCTCCACTGCCTCCAGGCTTCTTGTTGCAACATTCACAACTCATGCCTCACACCCATACAAGAGCATTGGTATAACTATACTCTCATACATTCCCTCTTTGCTTTCATGGATAAAGTTCTTTGTCTCCAAAGACTCCTCAGTGCACCACTCACCTTTTTTCCCCTTGTCAATTCTTTGATTCATATATCTTCCGTAGACCCATCTGCTGACATGTCCACTCCCAAATATATGAACACATTCACCTCCTCCATACTCTCTCCTTCCAATCTGATATCCAATCTTTTTTTTTTTTTTTTTTTTTTCAACAAGTCGGCCGTCTCCCACCGAGGCAGGGTGACCCAAAAAAGAAAGAAAATCCCCAAAAAGAAAATACTTTCATCATCATTCAACACTTTCACCACACTCGCACATTATCACTGTTTTTGCAGAGGTGCTCAAATACAACAGTCTAGAAGCATAAACATATAAAGATACACAACATATCCCTCCAAACTGCCAATATCCCAAACCCCTCCTTTAAAGTGCAGGCATTGTACTTCCCATTTCCAGGACTCAAGTCCGACTATATGAAAATAACCGGTTTCCCTGAATCCCTTCACTAAATATTTACCCTGCTCACACTCCAACAGATCGTCAGGTCCCAAGTACCATTCGTCTCCATTCACTCCTATCTAACACGCTCTACAGCACGCTTGCTGAAGTCCAAGCCCCTTACCCACAAAACCTCCTTTAACCCCCTCTCTCCAACCCTTTCGAGGACGACCCCTACCCCGCCTTCCTTCCCCTATAGATTTATATGCTTTCCATGTCATTCTACTGTGATCCATTCTCTCTAAATGACCAAACCACCTCAACACAACCCCTCTGT